CACCCAGTGGTGGGAGTGGTCCGTGCTGGTCTGGCCCTCGGGCGGGATGCGCTTGTGCCGGTAGCGCAGCACGAAGACCACGCAGTTAATGAGGAAGACGAGGATGGCGAGGCAGAAGACGCCCAGCAGCGCGTACATGCCGATCTCCAGGTCCGTCAGCCCCCGCTGGGGGCCCGTGGGCAGCGGCAGGAAATCTTCTGTGGGTGGCACCGCTGGGCTGGCGGTGACTGGCCCCGGAGCCTCGGGTGGGGCCATCCCTGTGCCCGGAGGGCCGGCTCCCCGGGCTTCGTCCTCGCCCCCACCCGGCCCCGGTTGGCTGGGGCCTGGGTAGTCGTAGGTGGGATCCTCCTCCTCCCGCCCAAAGTGCACCCGCAGGCCCACGGGGGTCATAGCCAGGACGCTCTTGCGCTTGGTCTTCTGGCAGCTCTCAGCGATGGTGAGCTCCGCGCGGAGCAGCTGCCCTGCCCCCTCTGCCTCAGCCACCACCAGCGGGAAGGCCCGGTCCTGGGTCACCGTAGCCACCCGCTCGTCCAGGCTGCTCACCAGCAGCCCATAGTCCCGGGGGCTGTAGAGGGAGAGTGGAGCTGTGGTGCCGTCACTGTAGGAGAGCCAGAGGCTCAGGAGGGCTTCCTGGAGGAGGAGAAGGGGAGAGGCGTCAGAAGCTGGTCCAGGCTGGCTTCCCTGTTGGATGAGCTTTGTGAGGGCAGGGACCCAGGTGTCTGGCTCCCGGTTGGACTCCCAGGGCCGGATGTGCCTGGCAGGTGACAGGTGTTCAGGAGTGACTGACTGGGAGGAATTCCTCTGCCCACCTCACCTTTCTCCCCTGGATGAACTAAAGGTAAGTTCTGCCTTGGGTCTCTCTCAAGTCCCTTTTGCTGCAGCACTTAGCCCACTTCTCCATGCCTGCCCCTGAGATCACCCTCATCCGACACTTGGAGATTGAGGACACACGCCAAACCCATTTCCCCTGTTGGTTACACTGGCCTCCCTGCAGGTGAGAAGGCAGGGCCCAGAGAGAAGGGATTGGCCTGGGGTCAGGGAGCGAGCGGAGGCAGCTGGCTTCTGGCTCCTGACTCCTGGCTTGGTGCTCAACACCCACCTTCTCATTCCCTGGGCTTCTGCCTGTCACCTTTCCACCTTTGCCTGCAGCCAGTGTCCTGGCATTTCGGGGGGTGGGGTGGGCTGTATCTGGGGCTCCAGAAATAGGTAAGTGTAATTCCTGGGGTACAGGCAGAGGTGATGGGCCCTCTGAGAATCTGAGAGGGGGAACCCTTAGCAGGAAGACCTCAGGTAGCAGGTGCAGAAAGCGAGACCTTGGCCAGACTCCCCATTCAGACCACAGTGGGGTGGGGTGGAGCAGGCACACAGGGCATGGAGGGTAGAGAGATCTTCCATTGCCTAATGCCCTAATTTTGGGGCGCTCGTGGCACACGGGCAAGCCAGAGCCCGCAAGCCCTCCTTCTACACTCCAAGCCCCAGGCTGGCAGGCGGGGCACCCAGTTACCTGCTTGAGGAAGCTGAGGGTTTGCTGGGCAGCGGCGGTGGCCAGGATGGTGTGGCTGCTCCCGGGGCTTGGCCGTAGGGAGAGGGCGAGGTTGGCCACCACCTGGGCCTGCAGCTGTGTGATGCTGACCTTCTCCTCTGTCACGGTCAGCAGCGTCTCCCCGAGCACAGACTCCGTCAGTGGGGACACCACCTGAGGCAGAGGGGGACAGGGGTGGGCGCAGGCCAGGAAAGCAGGACCCCACGGTCACCCATCAGGGGGAGTCCCGGTGCCACCGGAAGAGAGGTCCAGGGGGCGGAGCAGGCTGGGAGGCTCTGCCTTAGGTTTGCACCTGGGAACCAGGGTCCAGGGGTCTCTTGGGGGTGGGAGGGGCGGCGTGAGGGGCTTGCAGGAGCACAGATGAGAGAGATGGGCAGATGCAAAGGAAAACAATAGGCCCATACAGTGAGGAAATAGCAACTGATATTCCAACCTCAATGGGAGGGAGACGAAAGGGAGTGGTGGGGACTGTGGCCAATGGGAGAACTCATGCTCATGGGAAGGGGGACCAGTATTGACTAGCAGCGTACTCCCAGGTGGGAAGGCAGGCCGGGTGTCACCAGATTTATATTTTGTAAAACCAGAAATCTGGTTTTCTAAACAATGAGAAGCTTTCTAATTTTCAAATGTAGGATCAATTGTTTGTACGAGCAGATTCCAGCCCACGGGTCACTGTTCACCATCTCCCAGGTGGAGGATTTCCACTCGGGCAAATGTCAAGGAGGTCAGAGTTGAGTTCCTAGCTCCTGAGCTCCCTCTCCGGGCCTCTAGCTGCCTGAGCCCGCACCTGCTCTCAGGGACCACGCGGTGATGCGAGGTTGAGAGGTCTGGTCAGGCGTGGAGGGAGACCCTTCACCACGGTGAAGACAAAGGACCTTGGCCTCTGATGGTGGAACATCAGGCAGAGGTGCAGGCAGGGAAGAAAGTGTGTTTTGGGGGCCGAGACCATGGAATTCCTTTCCTAAGAACGTCTGCATCCTCTGCCCACAGGCAAACAGGGCTCCTGGCACTGCCCTTGTGCCTACCTTGAAGGGGGTGGCGCCCGGCTCCAGGCCTGCCAGCGTGCTGCTGTCTACCAGGCGTGCCACGCGGGGGTCACCCACCCGCATGAAGTCGCTGACCAGGTCGGTGACCTCCACCAGCCAGTCCGGGCCCAGCATGGTGACCACCTGGTCGGTGCCCTCGGACGAGGTCGTGTGGAACTGGGTGAAGACCTGCAGCGTGGCATGCTGGTACTGCAGGGTACAGCCGCGGCTGCTGCTCTGCCGCCGCTCCTCCTCCTCCTCGTCCTCGTCCTCGCTCTCCCGGGCTGACCTGGGTGGGGGCACAGGATCAGTGACCTGCACCAGTCCCTCCCTCCCCTGGCCCTGCTAGCCACTCCCAGGCTCCCGTGGATGGCAGTGTGCAAATAGCGAGCCTTGTCCCTGGCTCACTCCTGTTCCTGACCAGTGTGGAGCTGGGAGGCCCAGGCTCTTCCCTCCTAAAAAGGCACCTTCTTGGCCCTCCCTGGTCTCTCTGCCTCCACTTGGCTTCCCCCACGCCTGCGAAAAGCTGGCATCAAACCCTAATGAGTGCGACCTCTTTTCAGCGCTGAGCATGAGCCTGGCCCTGCTCTCAGCTCTGCGCTGGAGCAAAGGCGATCCCTTTACGGAGTGCCAGGAGCCGGGCTGGCTCGTCCTACGCTGTGTGGCAAACAGAACTTGTAAAGTGATCAACCTGGATGTTTAGCCGAGATTCACAAGCCAAATGTTGAAGGGGCGGCTTGGGTTTCTCTTGCTGCTCATAGTGAAATGCAAAAAGGAGAGAGAAAAACTGAGGGAAGAGCTGGTGAGCAAAAGGGACCCAGGACATGATGGTCTGGGGAATGCTCCGCCTACTCAAAATTACCCACAATGCAAAACGCAAGAGAGTCACCGTGTGGCTACCGCTTTGCTAGTGCTTAGAAGAATCAAGCACTAGAATATTCATCCATACAGAGGGTGCTTTTACCTGTTAACAAATCCAAGCCTCACCACAGTCCTGTGAGGTAAGTGTTAATGTGCCCATTTTACAGATGAGGAAATGGAGGCATGGAGAGGTTATGTGCATAGCCCTCGGTTGCCCAGCTGGTAAAGAGCCAACTGGTTGTCTGGCTTCAGAGTTTACTATGTCCTCACTACTCAAGGCATCACCCAGGAGCTGGTCCAAAATACATGTGCTACGGACAAGATCCGCAGGTAAGCCGAGTGCTCGTTCAAGTTCAAGAGGCTCTGGTCCACCCGGCCTTGCCTTTCCAAATCCTGCAGAATTGAACTGAGCCCAAGTCTCACTCGGCCGCCTGCTCCTCTCCCTAGCCCCGCCCCTCCTCCTCTTCCCTGCTGGCTTTTCTCTGTAGCAGCCGTGGTGGGTGAATGGGGTGCGCTGAGTGCAGATGGCCATGCCCCGCAGTTGGGTACTCAGGTGTGTGAGCCTGCCCCCCAGAGAGCGGACCCAGTGTGAGTTAGTGTGTACCCAGCTGATGTGCTTACAAATGTGCCTCGTGTGCCCAAGCTGGGGCACGTGTGTGTGGCTGTGTGTGCTCCTGTGTTACTGTGTCTGCTCCATTTTGTCTGCTGTTGGACTGGTCTCTCACCCTGTTCCCCAGACAACTCCTTTCCACTCATCCTTTTAGACTTAGCTCAAGAGTCACCTCTTCCAGAAAGCCTGGCTTGACTTTTCCCAGAGGGAGAGGTGGTTCTCTCCTTTGTGCCACTCAATTCCCTGCTTCCTGCATTCACCATGCTCTGTGGCATATACATGATGGCTTCCCGGGTGGACCCAGAACTTGGTTGAGTAAGGCACTGGCCACATTCATCTCGCATCTCAAGCACCTGCCAGTGCCTGGCACATAGTAGCTGCTCAGTAAAAGTTTGTTGAGTGCATAACCAGCCCGCAGACTGTGTACATCGAGGCCCTTGGGCACACATGCAGACCAGACCGTGTGCCAGGGCTGTGCCACCCGCGAGAGTCCCGAGTATCTGCCGTGTGTGGAGGGGCTGTACCTCCGGTCGGGGAGGATGGGTACCCTCCAGCCCTTCACTTGGCTGAGGCGGGCGTCCGAGAGCTCGATGTGCAGGGGCAGCTTGGGGACCCAGACTGTCATTTCCAGGGGGGCACTGAGGACGTCGTAGCGGAAGGTGACCCTGGCATTCATGGACCCGCGAGACTCCTTTCCGCTAACAAACACGTAGTCACAGCTGCTGGATACCTGGGGAGGGGAGGGAGGTTGGTTGGCATGTCTTGCCCTACAGGTCATCCTGCGGGACAGTGCAAGGAACTGCAGTCTGACAAGCAGGGCCAGAGGCTGTTGGAGAGAGAAAGTACCAGTCACGTGAGGCTGAAGGGGAGCAGGGCAGGGGGGAGAAGGCACCTCCTCATTTAATTCCTCGGGGAGGTGTCGGCTTCTGTGTCCCCGCCTCCATCCTGTGTTTCCAGAGATCATCTCTCAGGGGCTACTGTGGGAGGTGGATGCAAATGCCTCCACAAGGGCAGCTTCTGGGGCACCAGATCACACCCCGGAAGAGGCTTCAGGCTGAGCGTCCTTGGGACTGGATCTCCTCCCCCCATGACTACCTGGGCAGGTGCCGGCAGGAAGAGCCCTTCACTGCACCGAAGCGCAGCCTGTCCTGAGCAGGACCCAGGTGCTGCACTGAGGCAGGAGGGGGTCAAGGCGGGGTGGGGGGTGGGGGGTGGGGGGTGGGGGGTGGGGGGTGAAGGGCAGGACTTGGCTCCTCCTGGGCCCCTCTGGAGCAGCAGCCCCAGGAAACGGGCTCTGGTTAATTTCAGGCGAGGGGGCTGCTCCAGCCTGGGGAGGGAGTGAGGGAAGGAGAGAGGGGAAATCAGGACCGGAGGACCTCAAGCCCAGACCAGCGGATGACTGCCACCACGGGCCGCAGCTTTTGCAAGTGCATGCCCCTCTGGATACCAACTTGCATCTTAGAGCTTCCCCGGATGGGCATAGGCCTGCTGAGCACCTCTGGGGGGCGGAGACCTGTGCCCACTCACAAAGGTGTCGCCGCCGGGCCTTCAGATGCAGATGGGTGTACGTGTTACACGTGCCCACACACACACCTGGACTGAACACTGTGTGCAGTGTATTTAGGTGCTCCAGCTGGCGCATGCCCGTGGGTGCACATCCTCACGTTTGGATGCAGCCTGTGGGCTGATCACAACTCATTTGTGGAGATGAGCCCGGGGGCGTCCCAAATTCCTGCTCGCTCTCTTAACCGTCTCAGAGGGGCAGGAGGGGGGAGAGGGACCGCAGCCCTGCCAGCGATGCTCATTTCCCACTTCGGGAGGCGGAGCATCCCATCTGAAGGCTGGCAAATTCCACTTAGAATGTTGGCAAACTCCAACCGGAGTGTATTTCATTGAGAACGGAAACAAGTTCCATTTAGAATCTTTGCTAATTCCCTTTGGTACCTCAGCCATCACGACTTTGTTCTGGTCCCTCTGGGGCTGGGGTGGGGGTGTCTGGGCAGCAGGGAAAGGTGCCGGGCTCTTGGGAGCAGGCCCATTCTTCCTGCGCCAGCCGCCAGCCGTGGAGGGCCCGTGGGCCTGGCCAAGGCTTCTACTCCCAGGAGGTGAGGGGGGTGGGGGACCACGCCATCTGCTCTAGCGCACTTGGAAGGACTTCTTCTTGGATGGGGGATAGCCAAGGTGAGCTCCAGGCTCCCAGACCTGGAGGGACCCAGGGCAGGGTTTGGAGAGAGAGCGTGCACTCCAGGTTCGCCCCAAGGAGCCAGAGGGAGCCACCCACATGCCTCTCCTCCCGCTCTCCTTCAAGCTGGAAGATTGACAAGAACAGGGAACAGGTTCCGGAGTCGAACTGCTGGCTGGACACCCTCCTGCATTACTGCCCGCTCTACTGCCTCTGACCACTATCCAAGGCCACGGGCAAATCTGGAGGCCCTCCTGGGGAGGTGGCAACTGGGCCATTTGAGTCAGATCAATACCCTTTTTGCTAGGCCATGGAGGACCCAGGGCCCAGGGTGGGGGTCTCTGGGGAGGAGCTCAGGGAGGGGCCTTTGGGAGTTGGAGGAGGTTGGGGTGTGTGCCCAGAGGGGTTGGGTCCTTCCTTGTACAACCCTCACTCCTGGCCTAACTCACATGCTTCTGGAAGCTTCCTCCCTGTGCTGTGTCTCCTCCACTTGGAGCCAGCATCCAGGTTCAGAGCATGTCTCTCAGGCGCCCACCCCCTGCCCCCTCGTTGCCTTGCCCAGTATCTGCCACACACCAGGGGCTCCAGAACCTCTTTCCAGATTGGATTGACTTCAAGTTGTCAATGTTGCCTTCGCCCCGTGGTCTGCAGGCAGTCTCTTCCCCATTCCTACAGGCAGCCCTCCGGGGCTGGCAGGCAGTGCCCAGGCCTTTCCCTCACCTCACTCAGGCTGAACGAGGGATGCCCACAGCTCTTTCCCACTCCTGCTCCCAATCCCAAGTCTTCTTGCCTGCCGAGGGAACCTACACGGGATGTGAACGCCCCTCTGGCTTGGGGCTCCCCTCCCCTCGAAGGTCTAAGGCCTTCTTCCCAGGGGCCCCGCTGCCAGGAAGCTCACCTTGATGATGTCCTCATTGTCAGACTCACATTCCACCAGGGCAGAGACATCTAGGACGAGGCCGGTCACTTCGATGGCAATGACCTTGACAGGGATGGCCACCGTCCGACCAGTCAGGATGGCCGTGTTGATGATCTCGGTGTCCTGTGGGGAGGAAAGGGGGGTGGGATCTGAGCCAGGTGCTTGCAGATCCCTCCTCTACCAGGACACGCCAGCCAAGGTCCCGGCTCCCGACTGCCCCCACTTGTCAGGTGTGCACCCTTCCATGGGGACACCTGCGCACATGTGCAGGGAGGTGCGTCCACCCAGCCTCGCACCTTCTCAGATGCTCAGCTCGCTTGGTCTTCTGCAGTAGCTCCCATGGTCTACCTCCCCCTGCTGCCAAAAAACAACCATTCCCAGTGCCCTCCCATCTTCTCTCCAGGCCTTCCATGCTCCCCAGGACTCGCTGAGGAAAGTCCAGCACATTTGCCTGGCCATTCAAGGTGCTCCTAGGCTGGCCCCAGCCCATCATCCCAGCCTTATCACCCCAGTGCCCTCTTCCTAAGCCCATTGCTCCCTTGGACCAACCACTCACATTCCCATCACTGCACCTGCCTGCATGGTCCCCTGACTAAAGCACCCTCCTCACCTTCTCTGATTGTGTGAGCCCTTCCCCACATGTCCTTCAAGGTTCAACTGCATGGCCACCTCCTCCAGGAAACATCCCCCGAGTGGTCCCTCCATGGGTGACTTCTCCCCCCTCAGTCCCCCTCAGCATCTGCTGTCCTACTCCAGCACCAGGTGGAGTGCTGCCTGCCTCCTGTGAGTGCGTGTGTACACACACACACACACACACACACACACACACACACATATACACACACACAGACACACGTTTACATGGTCCAGGAGACAATCATGCACGCAGACACTGGCTCACGGGCACATGTGCACTGACCTATACGCACACTGAGCCGTGCACATTCCCATCACACATGCATCCAGGATGGACACACGCATCCACCGGCCCGGCCCCCTGCCCTGCTCACCATGGCCAGGGGCAGGATGGCTTGCACATCCCGCTGGATGACCGTCAGCTCGGTGACCGCCCGTTCCAGGTCGGGCAGAGCACCATGGCCGCGGTAGTCGATGTGCCACATGATCCTCCGCTTGACCGACTGGCTGGTGAAGTTCTCCATCTCAAAGTCCAGCTGCAGGATCTCCAGGGGCCCCTGGCCCTCCCTGTCAGGGCAGGAAGGAAGGAGAGCCGGAGAGGAAGGGCTGGGAGCGGATCTAGAGCTCTGGAACCCCAGCCCCTCTAGGCAGCCTGGCCCTGGGGCCCTCCGAACCTCCTCCAGCCACCCGAGGTGCCCCGCCTGGACTCAGAGCCCCCACAGACTAAGCCCAGCCCTTCCACAAGCCTGGCCTCCTCCACCAAGGACTCCCCCACCCCCCAGGGGCCTGTCCTGCAGAAAGGTGGGCAGAGGTGCCACCTCGACTCACCACGGGGGCAGGGGTGAGCCCAGGGCCCAGGCCACATCCACGGTGGCCGTTGAGTGCTTTGCCCCAGTCAGCAGCTCCGAGGTCACGTGCCACTGGCCACTCCGTGACTTGGTGCCTAAAAGGGTCACGCCCTTCTTGGCCTTCACCCTGGGACAAAGAGGGAGGAAGGAGGAGGAGAGAGTCAGCCTGGGGCCCAACGACTGCCCGCCTGGTAACAGCCCCTAGGCTGGGGCTGGTCGCAGGGGGAGCAGGTGAGTCAGTCACCCTGGGCCCCAGACACAAGGCTGAGACTAATCTGGGGAGTATGGTATCACGTAGCTACAACCCCTGACCCTCAGAGGAAGCTGCAGTCAGCTCCGCCCTATCTCTGCTAAGCCTTGCCCTATCGCTCCTTACACGCCTTAGCGACAAGGGCCTCGCACACACCCCATTCCATTTTCAGGGAGCCCCTAAGGACTAGAACCCCTTCTCTATGTTTAGCGGAAATATGACAACTATGGGTTCTGCCGGGGCAAGAGAGAACAACTCTGCTCTTGGTTGTAGCCGCTCTTCGAAAGCTGGGAAGGTGAGCAGGTTTCTGAGCTCTCTTTTCTCTGGGCCTGACATCTCTAGTTCCTCTAATCGCTGCTTTTCCCAGTTTCAAGTCACTTGTATCTCAGCCACCCCCCCTCGAGACACTGAACATATATGGTGTAGGGTCCTATACTACCTACTTCAGCTGTGCTCTAATGAATGCCGACTGAAGTAGAATGGTCATCACCTCCCTAATTCTATATGCGCTATTCCTATTAATGCAGCCCAAGATCTCTGGTGACTGACTTAACTCCTATTCACATTCAGGTATCAATCGCTGAGTCAGATATGATCCTTTCCCGAAATATTTGAGTTTTAAGTTCACTCAGGAGAGGGGGCAAGACTTAAAGAAGTCGGAAGCTAATGGTCATGTTTCGGGTCCTCTTGCTTGGGGTAGCAGGGGGCGTTTTGGTGGGGCCTTTCCTATGAATCCTCCAACGTGGCTCAAACCGTGGATGCCTACTGTGAGCCATCTTCATGTTTGTGGGGATGTGATTCTGTTTAAGGCATTTCTGAATGGTGACCCGAATCCTCCTCCGGCTACAGAAAGAGCTGGATCTCCTGAAGCTTCCTCCCGACTCTAGGACTGGACAAATGTCCCAACACACACACACACACTCCTGCTCATTGGCTCCCAGCAAGGAGCTGCTCTCTGGTCTCCATTTCTCCGCTTTGGCCTCAGTCTCCTCATCTGTGAAATGGGACTTTTGCAGCAGCTAACGTCTAAGGGCCCTTCCAGCCCCAGTTCTCTCCTTTTGGACATCCGTGCTGGGGAAAACGGACATTTCTCCTTTACCGGGATGTCATTTCTGAGAGCTACGGAGGCAGGGCGGGGATTTCTGTCCCCACTAGACAGATGAGACCACTGAGGCTCAAAGAAGTGCCATGTCTTCCTGAGGTCCATCGAGTGATAAGTGGAAGAGCTGGGATTAGGAGGCTGGACAGGCAGGCTGGGTGAGGCCCTACAGAGGGAAGCCAACCCTGACCCATGAGCGCCTACCTGAGTGTGAAATGCTCCACGCTGGGGCGGGAGGGGGAGGAGGAGTTGGGGGCCAGGTAGAGGAGGATGCTGAGCACTTCCCCCGGCTTGAGGGGCCGGTCGGGCAGGCGGATCATCAGGTTGCTGTCCAGCCTGTGCTCCTGCAGGGTCCTCCTGGGGGGCGGGCGGAACAGGCTGATGCTCCCTACGCGCAGCAGCGGGTGCTGGGTGGGGCTCTCCGCCCGGGCCCCCACTCCGGCCCCAGCCCCCCGCCAGGT